TGGAGACATAAAATGAAAACTAATCTTTTGCGGGCAGATTTGCTGTACTATGGTAACCCATTCAGAAAATGTAAGTGTTTATTTTTTGTTTGTTTTATTTTTTAACGTTTGTTTTGATTTTTTTTAGAGGGAGAGAGAGATAGAAAGATCAGTGTGAGAGAGAAACATCGATAGGCTACCTCCTACATGCCCCCTACTGGGGTTAGAGCCCGCAACCCAGGCATGTGCCCTGATCAGGAATTGAACAGTTCATGGGACAACGCTCAATCCACTGTTCCACGCCGGCTGGGCAAGTTTTCATTTAATTCCACAACTACAAAATGCATCACTGTTTAACTGGCAGTCAAGAAGAAATACATAATACCACTTACTAACTGGTGTCTTGTGATGGTTGTGTCTCCTTGGCATTTCTTTTTCTATGGGGGGATATGGGGAAGAAACACTGACATTTCTAAGACAACCATGGGACTTGTGCCTTACACATGAAAGAATACATGATTTCTTCTTGGAAATATACAATGCATGTTTTTATTTAATTTTACTGAAAGCCACAAAAAGGAACAGATTAACAGAATAGTTGTGAGAATACAGTATTGCCATAAAACCACTGTGGGTGGTGGATAAACAGTACGTGAAAATGAACTCCTAATAGGTTTTAATGTGCAGTTAAGAATGAGTCCACGAGCCCTGGTCGGTTTTGCTCAGCGGTTAGAGCATTGGGCTGTGGTCCAGAGAGACCTGGGTTTGGTTCCTGCTAAAAGGGCACGTACCTCGGTTGCAGTTTGCCCCCGGCTCTGGCTGGGTCATGCGGGTGGCAGCCACTCGATGTGTACCTTTCACGTTGATGTTTCTCTCTTTCTCTCTCTTCCTCTCTCTCCCTCCCACTCTATCTGAACAAAAAATGGAAAAATGTCCTCGAGTGAGAATTTAAAAATAATAATAAATAAGAATGAGTCCATGATATAAAATATCTGCAAAATGCTGAACATTTTAATGCCATTTTAATGGCTGCCACATCCTCAAAACAGTATCACTGTCCCATTTAAAGCACCAGCAGGTCAGCTCTTAAATATACAGGTGCAAATGATACTAACGACAATCATATCAATATGTATATTTTGTTATTTCCGGAGTTTGACATGAAGGAATACACTGTGGTTTAAATAAAAGATAAGAAATACCTGGGAAAATTCTATAGCTAACGGAAGGGGAGATGGATGAGGTAACATGAATTCCAGCCCAGAGGGACAATGACATGTGCAAGTGATGCCAGATATAATGTAAGGTTCAGAATATCAAAAACTGATACAGAATCTGTCTTCGTATTGTCACTGAGAGAGCAATTAGGCCCGTTTTTTTGCTTCAAATAATTATACACTACGATGAAGAAAAAAAATCACTGAACGGAGTACTCTTCTTCCCTAAACTTCCCTGGAGCCAAGAATAACAAAATAACACAGTGAACCATAGTATATATAACATTTATATGGTACAAAGCTCTTTCATATAGTTTATTTCCTTAAAAGGCTGCCTTGGCCAGTGTTGTGCAGTGGTTAGAGTACAGAACTTCAAACCAAAGGGTCACAGATTTGATTCCCCACTCCAGTTGGGGCGCATGAAGGAGGCAATCAATTGATGTTCAGGAGACAACCAAGCAACTGAAGTGTCTCTCTCACACTGATGTTTCTCTCTCTCCCTCCCTCCTTTCCACTCTATCTAAAAATAATAATAAAAATAATAACTGGGACTGACAATTTTTATGAATATGCTAATTATTTCCAACTGTTCTAAATATTTTATAAACATAAACTCATTGAACCCTCATTAACTATGATAAGAACTATTATTACCAACAGCAGAGGAAACTGAAGCACTGGCCCTGAGGTCCCAAGGCTAGTAGAATACACTGACCTGCTGTATCCAGTCAGATCTAAGATGATACAAACTGAGTATGAATGGTGAAAATGGCCTGTCAATAAAATAGGTGGTCACCAGCCAAGGAAGAAAAAGATGTTCCTTTCAAAAAAAAAAAAAAAAAGGAAAATTTTCAAAATCCTTTTAGGAATAACAAGATTTGGCATAGTTTCACAAAAATAATAATGCAACACCTCTTAAAAAAAAGGCAATGTATCATGAAAATGGAAAGGCTACCCACTGTATGGGAGAGCATAATTGCCAATGATATATCAGATAAGAGGTTAATTTCCAATATATCTAGAGAACTCATACAACTCAATAAAAAAAAGACAAAGAACCCAATTACAAAATGGGCAGAGGAACTAAATAGACACCTCTCTAAACAGGACATACAAATGGCTAAGAGACATATGAAGAAATGCTCAACATCACTAAGCATCAGAGAGATGCAAATTAAAACAACAATGAGGTATCACCTCACACCTGTCAGAATGGCCACCATCAACAAACCATCAAACAACAAGTGTTGGCAAGGGTGTGGAGAAAAGGGGACTCTAGTACACTGCTGGTGGAAATGCAGACTGGTGCAGCCACTATGGAAAACAATATGGTGTTACCTCAAAAAATTAAAAATTGAACTTCCATTTAACCCTTGATCCCACTTCTAGGAATATACCCTAAGAAGCCTGAAACACCAATCAGAAAGAATATATGTACCCCTATGTTCATAGCAGCATTATTTACAATAGCTAAGGTCTGGAAACAGCCCAAGTGTCCATCAGTAGACGAATGGATGACAAAGCTATGGTACATACACACAATGGAGTACTATGCAGCTGTGAGAAAGAAAGATCTCTTATTCTTTGAGATGACATGGAGGGACCTGGAAAGTATCATCCTAAGTGAAACAAGCCAAACAGAGAAAGACAAGTATCCTTTGATCTCACTTATTTGTGGAATATAATGAACATAACAGTCTGAGGAATGGGGTAGTCCCAGAGATGTGGAAGTGGGGTACAGACTGACTATCCCCAGAAGAGGGGGATGGTGGGGAGAGATGAACCACAGAACTTATATGCATGTGTGCATGAACAATGGACATGGACAACAAAGCTGGGGAGAGGGCGGGGAGGGAGGGAGAGGGGAAATCAGTGGGGGAAAAAGGAGAAACATCTGTAACAAAAATAAATAAATTAATTAAATAAAAAAAATCAACAAAGGAAAAAAAATTTTTAAAAAGCAATGTGTGCACCCAGATGTGGCTCAGCGAACTGAGCGTTGTCCTATGCACTAAGAGGTCACAGGTTCGATTCCCCATCAGGGCACATGCCCAGTTTCCAGCTTGGTCCCCAGTAGGGGGCCTGCAGAAGGCAGAGGATAAATGATTCTCTCTCTCCCTCACCCTTCCTCTCTCTAAAAAAAAAAAAAAAAATCAATAAAAACATTAAAAATAATAATAATAAAGCAAAGTGTTCCCCTGAAATAAGCATCAAGTGCTGTAAAGCTTTTTCCTTCTGACAATTACAAATTGTCTTCCAGGGAAGGACATCCTGACTTGAAATATGCTGTTAAATACAGTAAAACATCTCCTGGCATGAGGCACTATGAATTAAATTTTATCTAAATAAATTTTAAACATCTTCTGATTCTGAGAAAGGAGCTATTGTTTGGTGTTAGCATGAAGTATTGGGTAGTGTTTCCTATTTACTGTGGTATCTTTTAAAGGGGAACAAATTTATAATTCATTGTTGCATTTCAAACTACACATCACTTGAGAAATTTAGAACCCAGCTGGGATAAATGCCCTCTGAAAGGTTCTTGAGGACAGGAACCCTTACCCTTATGTATCTTTGCATCCCCACTACATTGCATGAAACCTGCATTTACGCAGTTCCTGGCGCTGTGTCAAAAATGGTAAAGTATTGTAACCAAAACATCGAAGCTTTTAAAACAAAAGCATATTCCAAACTGAATTTGTACGGAAATAAAACCCCGTCTAATAACGCAATGGTTAAGTATGTGCCACTTGCCCTTTTCAAGAATAAAAATATGCTCTTGGTGTCGGCAGAGGATCTTTCCCTTTCAAAAGCAAAAGCAAAAAAACACGAAATTTCTGCCTTTCTAATCCTACTGAACAGCTGAATCATTCGCATATTCAACTGCCCATAATTCTTCCAAGAACTGTCAGAGTAGGCTTTGCTTTTCGTCAAGTCCGAATTTAAGACCTTCCCTGGAAGAGCATGGAAGAATTACAGAAAATTAAAGTGATTCCCAAAAGACGCTATTGTTATTTATTTATTTATTTATTTATTTATTTATTTATTTATTTATTTATTTATTTTGATGTGCCCCTAGCGGGAACCGAACCCCGGACTCTCTGGTTCGCAGGCCGATGCTCCAACCACTGAGCCAAACCGGGCAGGGCGCAATGTCCTTCTTAATCAACAGGAGGCACTGGCTATCACATCAAACTCTGGTGAAGGAAAAATACTATGCTGATAAAATATTCGTTCATCCAAGGAGTATTTATTAAATGTCTACATGGCGCAATGCAAATAGGCAAAGGGACGCTGGGATGGGGCAGCTGAAGGCCGCCTCCTACGTGGGGCGTTTCGCCCTGCCGTTACTACCCCAGATGCGCGAACCAAGGGTCCCAGAACAGCCCCTCTGGCTTTACCCGGGCCATCTCACTCTGACGCGACAAAGGTCTCCCTAGCTATGGGGTTCAAGAGTGGAGAAACGAACAAATTGGTCTGGCCACCACGGTTAGAGCCAACGCATACCCCGGGCTGCCGCGGACCCGTGAGGCCATAGGATCCTCGCACCAACACGAGGATTACGCTGCGCCCGAGGAGACATGGAGGGGGTGGGTCACAGGAGGGGGTCTGGGGTCCCTCTCTGGAGGATGCGTTGGGGTTGGGGGTCCCTGGGCTTTCTAGGAGTTTTAGACATCGTCTTGTGCGGAGGCCTGGGAGCCCTAGAGGCTCCCTGGGGGATGCGTGGGGTGGGGGTGGGGGGTAGCGCTGACCGGGATGGGGCCTGGGGTGGAGACACCCTCAGGGCACGCACGGTGTGACACTCACCCAAACAGCCCTCGGAGAAAGGAGTGGGATGCCTTAACTCTCTTCTCTGCCTCTGCCATGAGCTGGACTGCTTCCCGCTCCTTCCCTGCGCTGTCCATACTGCCTAACGCTGCTGCCACAGCCTCCTCTGCCGGCTAGAACACGCCTTTGGCGCCTTCGCTCCCTCCTAGCGCCGATGTCAAGCGCAGGCGCAGTGTGCACGGCCTGACAGAATTTGTAGTCTGGGACCCACCCTGGAGGCGGGGAGCGCAGGCGCGGCGTGTACATTTTGCCGGGATCTGTAGTCCTAGGCCCTGGCTAAGCAGCTGGGGATTCTGAGTCAAGGACAGTTCTCAGCACTGTGCAGAGCTGAACCAGGTGGGATCGGCTCTTGCTGACCGCTGGCCCCAGCGGCCAGGGGGCCGTAGACGGAGTTGAACTTCAATCCTTTAAATATGTTGGAAATGGAAAATGACCCCTGGTTTCCAGTAAACATTACCTCCGCAGTAGGTTACACTCAGCAGTATGTTGGTTCAGGAATTCCTGCCCAGCACAATTAACATGTGGCAATGGGATGGATGAGAAAACAGGATGACATAATGTAACTCTCAACCTATAGGCTACTTCCTCAAAAGGGAATCTAATGCAGCCAAAAAAAATAATTAACTATGTGATGCAGTCATTTTTATCTCCAGAGCAAGACATTTAAGAATGTATCATCTTCTCCCACCTAGTATAAATTCAGAGTTAATTTTCAGTCTCCCCACGTTGCAACCTTCTTCTAATGATCTTTCCTTGCTTGGTTGTAATTGAGTTGTGTATGTGCAATATATGGATAATCCACTCTTTTTATTGACTGAATTCTTTTTTTTTTTTTTTTCTTTCTTTCTTTTTTTTTCTTTTTCAGAACAGGAGAGAGAGAGACATCCAGTGATTGCCACCCACAGGACCCCAGTACAAACTGCAAGTGAGATGAGATATGTGCCCTTAGGGGGAACCCAACTCAGGCCAGCGCTCTAACCGCTGAGCCAAACCTGCCAGGGCAATTGACTGAATTCTTTTAGTGGATGTGAGCCATTGAGCTCTCTTATCCTGTCTATAGGTGGTGGATCTCCTGGGACACAATTTCTGACTACCAGGAAGAATTCTAATCTCCTGGGAGACATATCCATAGGTAGATGTTATCTTCTGCCAAAGATTTCCAGGACTGTCCCAGAGGGATTATTTTTTTTAATACAAAGTCTAGTCTAGATTGTTTATATTTAGCAATGTGAAAGCAGAGGTGGTGAAGCAAATACAAAGATCATTTCAAATGAAAACTTGTGACAATTTCAAACTATTAATAAGTATACTGTGGGAACTGGCACACAAAACATATCTAAGAAAATGTAGTCTGCTTTTAGAGAACACTGCAAAAAGACCCATACTCCAAAAAAGAAAGATAACTAAAACAAGTGTTACAGAGTTTATGCATTGCAGTATTATCTGTGAGGAGCTCTCCATGTCCCACCTGTTATTAGGGAAAATGGGCTTCTTTCTATGTCACACACACACACACACACACAATTTTCTGAGACTCACACAGGAGGATGCAATATTGTAGAAAGCTTTATTTCTGTGGAATTAAACCCCTGAGTTTCCAAGGTCCCATTTCCCTTTGTCCCACCAAGGAAGAAATCTGGCTGTGCCTTTAGCAGGGCTAGGTTGAAAGCTGTTTCCCAGAGTTTCCATTCCATTCCAACTTCAGGCTAGCTTAGTTTGTGTTCCTGCTACAGTCCATCAGTCCATTGCTTGTGAGGTCTGCATTACCATTGGCCAAATAGCTATGGAGAAACATGGGTGAATGCAAGAGAGCCATAAGAGCCAAGAGAGTGAGAATTTATTTGTCTTGTGATTATCTATGCCCAAATTTCCATGGGTTTGCAGTGGCCACACCACTTCTAGCCAATGATTTCTGTTCCCAGGATTGACTGACAGGTACCTTTCCCAGTCACCCAAACTTTACTGCACATGTGTCCATCTACCCACATGTGACCCCTTCCCTCTGTGATCTGTGGGGAATGGGCCAGTGGTTCCCTAAAGTTGCAGCTTCCTGGTGAAGCTGCCCAGAAGTTTGTGCTTATAATGTCTGGTCTCCCCTTTTGCTCCTTGCCTGTTATTAAGAACTAATTACAACTACATCAGCAGGATGCTAGAGATAGAAGGAAATCTCAGATCTTCAAGCAGAGTTTATTTACTATTACTACATCCATTACCTCTAACTTGTGTGCTTTCAGGACAGGAAGTGGCAGTAAATGGAGGAGTAAAGAGGAAAACTGAAAATTATATATATATATATATATATATATATATATATATATATATATGAAAAGCAGAGCAGTTTATGAGTGAGGCAGGATAGTAAGAAGCTAGGAAAATTCCTTGACAAATGGAATAGGGAAACTGAGATGAATAGTTAAATGGCTGAGCCGTTTACAGCTATCTAGTAAATCACAAAATCCTTTTTCCATAACCAAGAACACTTAAGAGTAAATGGTTTACACTTTTCCTTCCTAATCAGATGGTAAATAGCTTAAATCATCCTACTCAGGGAGATAGATAGCAAAAGTCCAACTACCCCATTTGACAATCACATCCAAGGATAGATGAATTTAAGGAAATAAATCTCATTTTGATGCATCAGCATAAAGCTGATGACTATTCTATTGAAGTCTTTCCCCTAAACTCCCAGTCTTTAAAACTTTCAAAACAAAGGACTCAGTGTACACTGTTCCTCCCAGGACCATGCCCACACCTTTCCCATACCCCTCATCTTCCCTCATAGGTATGCATCTTCTAAACTCTAAGGGACCCCAGGATATTTGCAACCAGGGGAGTAATGGGCAATGGCAGCTTGTCCAGGGCTAACCCCCTAAACCTGTCTCCAAGGACCCTTTTCTCTGGCTATCTAGTGAGCTGACAAAAGGCCCACCTTGGCTTACTTCTTTCCTTTAACATTTCTAGAGAGCCAAAGCAGTTCCACCTAATCTCTCTCTTGTTGCTTCTTCTATCCTAGGCCCTTCCTTGTTTCACTGTCCCCAGCTTTAATAAACATTCTCTCAAAATCACCTGTACTCATGTTTTGAAAAATTTCCAGCATGAAATAAAAAACCCACACACTACAGGCTGTCCAGAGGCACACCCACTCTGGATGGTCCCTGTCCAGTAATGTGGGGATTTAAAGTGGAGGGGCCAAGTCAAAAGCTCTGAAGTTCAGCATCAGTATGTTGATTAAAGCAGTTCCCAAACTTGGCTCAATATGAAAATCTAAACGATGTTCAAGAAATACTGATTCCTAAGTCACTAGCTTTATTTTTATTTTTTTAATTTTTTAAGTGTTTTTACTGATTTTTAGAAAAAGAGGAAGGGAGAAGGAGAGATAGATAGAAACACCAATGTGAAAGAAACATTGATTGGCTGCCTCCTGAATGGCCCCCAACTGGGGATTGAGCCTACAACCAGGGCATGTGCCCAGACCAGAAATCAAACCAGCGACCTCTCGGTGCACAGGTCAATGCTCAACCACTGAGCCATACCGGCAGGGTGCCACTAGCTTTTTGTATCAGGACCTCCTAAGTTGGGGTCCAGGAAGTGTACATTTTAAAAAGAACTCTTCATGACTATGCTAAAGCTTACAATTCTAGATTATCAAATCTAATCAGCTGAAAAGAAAGAGGAATGAACTGGATCCTCTAAACTAGAACTTGTGGTTTAAGGTGTCAGCATAACAAACATTCAAACCTATAGAGAATTTTTGTGAGTTTTGAGCCAAACTGTCAACAATTTCCGGGAAGCAAAATCTCAACAGATTGAGATAATATTCCAGAGAATGGCATTGTTTGCACCTTACTTTATACATTACAATCAAAAGAAGAGATGGAAGTAAGCTATGTGAAATCCATTGGTAATAGATTAGGAAGGCAGGAGAAAGCTAAGTGGGGACACCTCTGGGATGGATAAAAAGTAAAATGATAGACACATAAATCTTTTACATAGATAAGTACAGGATGGTTAACAGTAACATGATAACAATAACAGGTTATGGTCTCTGCCCTGGTGCATTATTGGTTGTGCCCTGATGGGGTCTGGAAGAAGGGGAGTTACCTGACACTCCAAAGGAATGTTATTGTAGATGCAAAAGGCAATAGATAGGCATAGTTAAGGTAAATATTAACTTTTGTCAGGGAAGATTCTAACCTAGAATACTAGGCAGCTGTAAGAAAGATCTCTTACCCTTTGAGATGACATAGAGGAAATTGGAGAGTATTACATTAAGTGAAATAAGCCAGTCAAAGAAAGACAAGTACCATATGATCTCACTTATTTTTGAAAACTAGTAAAATAAACTGCCAAACAAAATAGATATAGAGATGTGGAAGTAAGGAACAGACTGACAAACCTAAGAGGGAAGTGGGGTGTGGGGGGCAGGAAGAGATAAAACAAAGAGCTTATATGCATAATCAATGGACACAGACAACAGTGCAGTGAAGGTGGTAGGGGAGGAGGGGAAGAGTGTGTCAATGGGGAAAAAAAGGAGGAACATCATAATACTTTCAACAATTAAGATTAAAACACACACACACACACACTCTGGGTTAACCTATAAGCTATTATGATCCAGGTATTGTTAGTTGTTTATTTATTATTTTAATATTTTGCACCTAGTATAACATTCTCTTATAGTGAGAGTGTAATATACACCTTCAGTAATTATTAACAGTTGTGCTATATCCATAGGGTTTGAGAAAATCCTAAAGAACCAGTATAATTATTATTATCACTATATTAACAGCAACATTAATTTGTAGATATACAGGACTTGTTGACATTTTGGGATAGCTGTCTGCCTCTGTGGTCGGACACTTCTAGTCCTTGAAATGTCTTTGATCTCTACTGTAGATGGGGGTGAGTGTCAGAGACGGGAAGATGTCCATTTGCAGTTAGGAACCTTATAAAGTAAGATCCCTTCCAACACTGTTGGAGGAAGCCTTTAATTAATGTCTTTCTCAATGTACAAAAATCTTTTGATTCTAAGTTGTCTTTGGAAGTCTTTGTCTCCTGGGAGTGCACTGTGAAATGAATGTTACTAATTTATCATTCCCTATAACATTATTAATATAC